CCTCAAAGATCGGGATACCGTTCACGCCGGGTTTGAACAATATGTTTCATCGAACAATTTCAATCAAGCACGAAATATCACCCACGGCTATTTTTATGGCAGCCTTCCACCACAACTGCCACGACGCTGTCTGCCATGGATGGAAGATTGTGGCTGCACCACTGCACCCTATCTAACGGGCGGTAGATTGCGCCACCATACTACTATGGTGTGGCTAGAGGTAATATAACCCTACCAAAAAGATGGCCGCCAGTGGCCGCATTCGCGCACCGGGCCAACGTGATCCAGCAAATAGACACAGAGATCAGTGAGCCGACCAGCGAAAGAAAGCAGACGACACGCAGACGAAATCTTTTGGCAGCAAAAGCGCCGTCGTTATGCAAACGCGTTTTTTTAACTTATTGTCCACATTTATTTTTAACCTAAGGTACATTACAAAAAGATTATGTTCATTTTAATAAGCCACAAGGAGGTAGGGCCATCTATCAATACGAGCGCCAAACGCGCCCCGCAACTCGACTAGATCGTCTGCGTCGCAGCCCGCCGTTGACCCTGACAAGTTTCTTGGTTCTATCTTTTACAAAAAAGGAGCTACGCTTTCTAATGTTATCAGAAAAAACCAACCTGTGAAATACACCTTTGACGAAAAGTTTTATTTGATAGGCGCAGGCGTCGATTTTTACGGTACGTTTGAGATTGAACCTGGTGACTTGGGACACCCTATATTTTGTGGGACGGCGCCCGTGGTGGCATATTCGTATTCAACAATTGGCGTTTGGGATGCGTTTGAAACAGCCCTGTGGGCGCTTTTGTATGCACGTGAAATTTCTCGACCGCGATGTGGACGTCGCTCGCCTGTCAGCTCAAAATTCAAATATGCGTCATATTGAACCGCACCAGAGAGGCCATTCTTCTTAAGAATATCAGTCGCGTCATAGACAAGCCATCTCGAATTCCGGCTGATAGCGTTCAGGTATGTTTCGAAATCTTATTGCTTTGCTTTAAAACGAAGGCACGAGTTTCCGAGTAGGAAGGAATCGATTTCACACTTCCAGCTTCTAATCAGTGTCCGCGAGTTGATTGCACTTTGCAGGAGCATATCCAAAGTTAAGGCGCAATAGCTCTTACCAATGGTCAGATTGTTCTTACCGACGGCCAGACTGCATTTTTCCAGCAGCCTCGAGGAGAGGCTGCATATCGCAAGACCTATTCCGAATCGTGAAACCAGCCTCGGCTTATCACTACTTAATTTGATCTTATAACCTAGGCAACATAAATGTACAAACCAATAAACAGCTAACACAGAGCGGAGAACTGATTTAACTAGTTACTATTTTTTAAACCTTAATCCCTTCGGAAACGTGAATTCATTGCTTTCCTGCTAAGGCCCCGATCTTCCACAGTGCACGTTTTGCATTGAGAATTACATCAGCGATGACATTTAAGTTTGACTTAGCCGGTCATTAGTCAGATGTTAAAATACAAATTCGCCACTTTCCTATATTATTGCGGGCAAGACATCGGTAACATGAATTGTACTGTGCGTTTCTTCCCTGCGATGTTGCGGAGATAAACTTGGCACGCGTTTTGTGCTTGGACGGCGTGAACATCGTTGTCTAAAGCGTCTCTGAAAGACAACCCGGCCGAGTCTAGCGCTCCGGCAAGAGTGGAACGCAAAGTTCGCGTCTCTTGATGTCGCACACCCCAGCTTTCACTCCGCGATTTCACGTCTCCGTTTTCTTTCGAAGCGCGTGCTTGTTCTTTGCCCCCTCGCCTCCTGCACACTCTCCCACAACATGTACGAGCGCGTTAGCTCAACAGCACGTATACATAACAAGGCCGCAGTGCTGGATTTCTAGTGGAAGCCAAAGGCAAGGCGCCGATTGAACAGGAGGGCCACGTCACCGTTCGGCTGAGACTCGTGCTCAATCCGTGAGGGAGCGAGTCACCCACATAACGCATTACACCCGTATTCACCAGACGTGGGTAGCGCCTGTTTAACCACTGACTTGCGACGTCATCGACTGACATGATCACGTGGCGAGCGATTGTCGCCGCTAAGTGAGCGCTTTGTATTCACAGGTCGTTTTAGGGCCTAGTCGGCCAGCACGACTAGGAAGTCGACTAACAAATCTTAGTCATGGGGTAGGGCTAGTTTAGCCGGTGTTTAGTGGGTGACAAGCGGCTCAGCGCCATGCCCGACTCGTATCACCGCTGACCGCCAGCGCTAACGAAGCACTTAGAGTCTCGGAACGCTGGAGGACACATCTAGAAAGAATTAGAGGAGCAAATATTGTGTAAATAGCCATCTTCAACGGTCAGAGATACCACTAAAGAGATCTCAGCAGGGCGCTGGACGACGAGAAAAAACGAATTTACGGGCGCTATCATATTTGTTTATGTCGCTGGCAACGCGGCTGCCGTGTTTCTCCCGTACGTTATTTAAACTTTTTTCTTTGTAAAACTCTCTCTCGGGCAATTGGTCTCTCACTTTAACTTTTTTTTCTGGATAAACATTCAAATATTAGTTTTTGTACGATAAAATACACAATTCCGCAGCGGCGTTTAAGTACGCGTATGCGTGGCCTATCTTTTTATGTCACTTCCGCTTGTTAGCTCTGACAAGATAGTCACCCGCTCGCATCGCGCTCGTGAACACCGCCGAACTAGTCGACCCATAGTTGCTGATTTTTTCTCTTAGCTCGCGACTACTTAGACGCGATACTAACTTTAAAACAGCGCTAGTTCGTCACGACTGGTCAATACGGCTGTATGTGTTCAAAAGTCTTTTCTGTCCCTTCCTTTCAGGCAGCGATCCATCACAAGTGCACGGACCTCAAGCCTAGATTTTTTTTTTTCCTCCATAAGCGAGCTGTAGATTTTGCGACCGTAACCGCCATTTTCTTTGGTAGTAGGTAATCGGCTTACAGGGTATCGAGAAAAGCGTTCTCTTGTGTCGTCCTGCATTATCCACGTTAAGCAGCGGGGGCACCTCTCATGCATCGCTGATTGTTTCTCTTTCGCAGCGACGGAATTAGTGGACGAATGGGACCACTCTCATATGTTATTCGTCTGAATAATTAAAACATAAAAATCTAAGCTACTCAAAAATCACAGCGCGATGAAGGGATTTAGCCTTCATAAATGTAATCGACTATATGCCGTTCAAACTGGCGTAAACAAACGCACTTTATGAAATAATAAACAAAAATGTTTTTTTTGTGTGTGTGTTAAATGTCGTAATATATTTTATAGTTAATAAATAATAAATAGGTAAAAAAACCCGCAAAGGGCGCCTGAAGAAAACATGCTGAAATTTCCGGTCACTACTTCTCAAAGTTTGAGTTTACCTAGAGTAAGGTAGAACCCGAATTCTGGGAACCTTTGTAGGTGTTGCAAACAGCCCGTTGTATAAAAATGTAGTAAAAAAAAAAAACAAAAAAACGAGACTGGTAACAAAAAAGGACGGACAAACACGTGTGTTTGTCTGTCCTTTCTTCTTCCCAGTCTCGGGGTGTTTTTACAACGTTTAACTACCACCAGCTTGTTTTCCCCTACCTTTCTCTTCAGGTGCATATTATATATTTACACTTACAATGAAACGTTAACCGCACAATGTATGCTCTAGTTGAGAAACTTTGATCTCGGTTGGTTAACAGCCCGGTTTTCAGGGCTTTTTTAAAAGGTGCATCGATTACGAATATTTTCGGAAGCATATACATACCGAAACAAATAGCTATCTGATTGAAACGCTTCAAGCTATTCCTTTAATACTATAGCTTAATTGTAACGTACGTTTATATCATAACATTTACCAGTCTAACATTGAATGAAATAGAAGAGCGGGAAAAGAAGAGGGGTTAGTGTATTAGAAAAATCACGTCCGGTTGCATTTGTGATTCGACGCTCAGAAGCAGATTCATTCTATTTAACTTAAGAAAGGTTTCCCAGAGCTCGCCTGCACGACACATTATTGAAAGAAATGAAATAATGCAGGAAAGATTGGTTAGGTGTCTTCATTTTGTTTAATATAGCGCCTCATTTTGCTCGCTACAATGCAAAGGCTGTTGTACTTAGCTCGTCAAACAAGAATTCTTATTTCAAAATCAATTTAGACTTCTAAAATGTTTTCTATCGACGTGACCCTATTTTTGGGAAATGATCTACGTAATATACATTAAAACACCTTAATACGTACAGTACATGTGATTTTTTTTATTAATAATATTATCCGAACGAATCTTCATTAATTCATTCTTCGCGAATGCCTGGACTCGTAAACTCTCCTACAAATTTTAGTAGATGAACCATTTTGCCAACTTAATGAAAAGACGTCTGATCTGAGGTTCCTTTTTTTCCGCTCATTCTACGAACGACAGCTAAATTCTCGCACGACTATCCAGAAGGCGATCTCACGGCCTATTAAACTGTACCACAAAACTGACCCCGACCAAGAGTAAACTATTTGACTACTCGACAGTCCTAACAAAGCACGAGGATAGTAGAAGTTGAAAAGTAGAGCTATTAGACCGGAGAAGAGCGAAGAAACAGCGAAATGTGAGCTGCGAGTATAAAAATGCAGGAGGCTACATTTCTAGTTTATTTCTCGCTGTTGTTTTAAACATTGATAATCATAAAATCTACCTCACGTAGACATGATTTTTAGGCTTTGTGGAACCAATATACGTAGATTGTATCTTCTATAGTTAAATTGTGTCTTTGATACAAAATGTCGTGATATGGATGTTAATGTACAGTCAGCACGGAATGAAACCCGAACGCCGGAACGCGTGGCCATCGATACAGGCTGCTCCACCTGGAGGGCCCCTGAGAACTAATGAAAATGCATCTGGGTGTGAGGGTGCGAGTCCTACTAAAATGTCCTCAACCCTCGCGCGGGGCGTCTGGGACTTCCGCGTTTCGCCAGTAGGCGCGCTGTAAGCGCCGTCCCTCGGGGTGCTTTTCTGTCGCCGCACTGTTGCCCGGACGACCCCGGGTACCCGCTTAACCTGGCTATAGCTCTTTGCGATAGGCCCTGCTCAGACAAGGTGATGCATTTATTCCGTTCCGGAATTGATACGCCTGGCATATCGGTGGTTACCAAAGAGAGCGTCAGCAAGCAATTCCTCCCTTTTTAAGAATCGACTGATAACCTCGCATTAAAACATGCGCATTACTCCTAAAAACCGAGGCATCCGCGTCGGTCTATTGCAGCATTTTTTTGTTCATAAAGAGTATGGTCGCGCGAATAAACGAATTTTATTTCGCGTCCATGATGTTTCACTATTTCTCAGAAACCGCGTGGCACGTTGTTCACCAGAGCCCCAGTGTGGTTCCGGTGACACATCATCAAGGACTACGGGTCGATACACAAAGCGATAATGAATGACAGCGCTGAAGAGATATCGCTGGGATTCCGATACACAAAGCGAGTGACAGTGTTTTTTGTATCGGATGTGACGGTGCTTACAGCGCGCCAGCGGCGAAACGCGGAACTCCCAGACGGGCCGCGCGATGGTCGAGCTCATCTTAGTAGGACCCGCACCCTCCAACCCGGCGCATTTTCATTAGTTCTCAGGGGCCCTCCAGGTGGAGCAGCCTGTACCAACGGCCACGCGTTCCGGCGTTCGCGTTTCATTTCGTGCTGACTGTACGCTGTAATATTACAAAAGACAAACCCTGAGCGCCTTGAAGCACGCTTTAAAGGGTCTTTCATTTTGTTTGACTCAACTCTACTGTGTACGGCGAAAAAGTTCTAATCGCGTTTTACAAATTACATGATTTGAATGTACATGTTGACAACATGTTTAAGCCATATCTAGGTGCAAATTCTGCTAGTGATTTTCGAACTTCATACTTGGAAATTACTTGTTTTCCCTAGCTATTAGTTCATGTTCTTTAGCCATTCCAAACAGCTGTTATGAATTGCTTTTATAAGCTTACTTCTGTTTTTTTTTTTTTTTTTGCTGATCTGACGCTTTGTTTCTATCGTTGCAGTGAACTCTACACAAGTTTGTTTGTGTTACCATTCTAATGCTGTGATTCAAAGGTAGTGCTTCTGTTTCTTTAGTTTAAAATGTATGTATTATATAATTATTACAGAATTTATATTATGCTACGAAGGGAACTGACATCGGTAACTGATATCTGTAACCAAGGTGTCATAATATCTCAAGCATGCTTCAGTTTCGAGAGAAATGTAGCTCCTGAACGAATTAAATATATTTTTTATTCATTTTACTTATTTAGTTATGTATTTATTTGTTTAGGCAAAGTAATTGGGAGTGTAAGGCAAATGCTGGCAAAAATAAATTTACGAGGATCCAATTGCCCTTTCCAGTGCTACAACAGTTGCAAGAGTAACGTATAAAACCACATATATAGTGGCTGCGTGAATGTACGTTTTTGTGTAATCACACTGAACACAATAGTATACAGAACTAATCTAGCACAACATGAAATGATACTTGTCACTAACCAGTCATAGCACGAACTGTTATCGAAAAAATTGGGAGAGATAGAATTTGGCTAGAATATTTATTCTTGCAGCATTGAATGTACTACTTGATTTCTACTTGATTTTTTTTTTTGTCTATACCTATGCAGATATAAATATCTACTAATAAACTAATCCACTTCCCGAAGATTTTTTTTTTTTCAGAAAGTACAAAGCGCAGTTTTTTGCGATATTTTGCTTTAAATTATAATTCATACCGTAAATGTATGTTGTAGTTTTCTGCAGGTACGTATCTAAAGCTAATAACCGGTAATGTTTAAAACTTGCAAATGACTATAACTAGTATTAAGATAGAAATTGTTGACTTGTAAGAGCTCAGTTTTTTGTTTGAAGAGCGGTGTAGGCACAATAATGTTGGTCACTGTACCGGATCGCTTTCTTTTGTAACGTCAGTGACATGCCAAAATTAGTTTTTTTTTTTTATCTTGGTTTTCTAAATTAGTAGACAAAATTTTAGGTATGAGTGAAACAACACGTGAAAAATCGACACTCTAACCGGCATGAAAGGTCTACGTAATGTAATCAGGGATTGGAAAATCTGAAAATTGGTTGTTTATTCACATGGTGAGGACTAGTCAAATTTTAATCAAACCTAACGCTAGATATATGTCACCTAACTTTCTAAAGAAGCAAATGTTTGAAAGGGAATGTTCGCTGCATATTTATGGAATCTAGTTTTAGGTTTCAAATAATATATTCGTTCTTACACATGTGTTCAGCTGCAATTTTCCTAACTATAGTTGGAGTTATATATTATTTTTCTATTCGTTTAAAATAGTTTCTAATTTGGCTAGGTTTGGATTAATACAAGCTAGATTTGTGTCATTTGAGTATGAAATATTTACTGGTATTTTTTTTCAATATATATATATATATATATATATATATATATATATATATATATATATTAATCAAGAACATATAATTTTATTGCACCGCAAGCAGTATTTCAAGTTGAGACCAATTTAAAACTGTATATAGATTTAGTAACTTCAAATAAGTTCTAATCCCAGACCTCGTATTCCTTAAATCTGCAATATCTTTAAAAAATGACTCCCAAAGGAGTCGAATGCCTTCATGGACTGAGAAGATTTTGCATTTAGAATTTCATTTCCTATCGATAATTTAATATATTTTACATGCAAAAAATTAATTTGGACTGATTTGTTTTGACCCATTCTTTTTTTTTCGTAATCACATTATCTGCGAAAAAAAAAAAGTATTGGTTTGTATTTACGGGCCTCTAAGATTTTTGAGAAGAAAGGTTAAACTGATCTTAGTCGACAGTTATTTAGTGTCTGGCGCTCCACGCTTGTTATGCAAACAGTAGCAATGCAAACCCTAGCAATGATCATCCTCTTTAAAAATGTATTTGATATACAGAGTAACTAAAATATAAGTGTACGCAACAAAACTTAAACGAGAAACGTTTTTTGATTGACTCGTCTTTCAGCTCATCCTCCGCAACTGCGGTACTATATTAATCGAAGCGTTGACATATTAAGTATTGTAGTTTTGCTTAAATGTAAAAAGAAAAAGTGTACGATACATTCGTATCTAGCTGTAGAATACTGCGAGGAAGGCAGTATAAATATACAGCGCAGTATCGATATTTCTGTTATATATTCTAGCTGACCTTATACTATGCTCATTGCTTGCGACTTTACAATGAATAAAAGGCATGCAATTTTTCGCACAAAGTTATTATTTGAGCAGAGCGTAAGGGAACAAGTGAGCTGGTGTATGTCAAACACTTTAGCGAAAAACCCGAGATTGAGGTATTGACAGACGACGACAAGGAAGAGAAGGAGAACGTCTCCTTCTCTTTCTTGTCGTCGTCTGTCAATACCTCAGTCTCGGGTTTTTCACGAAAATATTATTTGGGTTAAGGCATAACTTGGTTATTTGTTACACACTTTGTTCCGTTTTTAGTATCTCCGGTATAAATGTAGCTTTAGGTGTTTAGTGAATGTCAATATATGCAGCTACAAAATTGATAACCCCATCTTTGTACTTGACCTTAAAATGGGTGACTTAAATTTGAATAAAGATGTCGATTCTTGCTAGAAGCAAGCGCGGAAACCTTTGTCGTCTCAGTGCTGTTGACCAGCCGGTATGCATTGCTTTTGGCCCTCAAATTTAATTGATAATTCCAATTATAACTGGGTAACGAGAATAATCGCTGTAGAAGGCGAACAAGGGGGACGATGTCATTCTTGTCCAGCTTGGTTATAACTTTGCAATTATTGCATTATCATTATAACTGGGTGTTTTCGAACCTCTAGATGTTCCTTAAACTCTCGGTGTATTTGCATTGAAAAGCTGACTGAAGCCTCATCCTTAAGGCCGACACGTCCAAAAGCAGTTGCGGTGAGAACAGCCTTTAATGGAAGAACAGTAACAATTTGTGAATACGTGTAAAACGTAAATTTGTATTCAAATTTGGAAGCCTTAGATCGTGTACAATAATTTATAAGTAGGCAGTATACATTTGCCTCGTGAATATTTCGTTACGACGTTGTTCGTCCTTTTAAGGTGCAATGTGCCTACTGGAGAAATAAAACCATTTGAATTCACATGTAGTGGTCGTGCAGACCAAGCTCCGAATCCTTTTGTACAGTTGATGAGAACATAAGAAACTCAGGATGCAGCGAGTCCCGAGCACGTTATTATATAACTCCGCAGCCCGTCACATGACGGCGAATCACGAAGCAACAAGCGTGACGACGGTGATAAGCCACAGTCTAAGTATCTCTTGCTCTCTTTGATTGTAGATTGTGTGCCCTAGACTGCGACTAATAATTTACTGTACGCGTATAATTACTGACAACTCAAGAAATGCAGGGGGCGGATTATTATCTTCTTGCCTCGTTTTTTGTTTAGGTGCTTATTGGCCAATGCCTTGATCTCATAGGCGGCGAAGCGGTAGTAAGGTGAGGGGCACTCGTCAGTCTCTGTATTTCTTAGGCTGTTATTAATTTGGTACATTTTTTTACAGTGCGACACAAGACGCGTGAGTGCAATGATTTACGATTGTTTCTAAACCGTTTTCATCAGTATTTATGTTGCAGAAGAATTCAAAGAATGGGGGTCGGCAAACCTCCCTGTGTTTCTCAGTCTTGGAACGTCGGGCAACAATCAGTAGCGCGTGACTAGGCGGTGCACACCTTAGGCGCGCACTTTGACACCGATGAAAGTAGCACCCCGAAGACGCTCCCCAAATGCACACGTTGTAATACACAAATATATTTGCTCTAGCATTATTCGAAACTGCTGTCACTGTCTTTGGCGGCGTATTTGTGCTGAAAGGTTCAGCTGAGATTTTCTGTCTGGCTTTCCTGCCTGAAGGATATTGAAAAATATCCTTCAGGCAGAACATGTCATACTCTCGCGGCGCGAATCCCGGATTTATGACTGGTCACGTGTGGGCTCAGACTCCCCTGTATCGCACGTTTCGTGCCCCTTTTCGGCGTGACGCGGAAGAGCGCGCCGTGACAGAAGGCTCGACTTGGTGCGCCTCGACGGCACTGACAGCACTCGAAAGCTACGTGAAGGCTCACCCATAGGGCTGACGCGTCCAAAGGCAGTCGAGGTGACGACGGCCGGCTGTTGGTCGGCGGCGTGGTGGTCCTGGCCGGGCTCGTGGTCGGTCGCGTAGGTCTGTGCCGGTGGGCTGGGAGCCGTTTCGGCCTCGGTCGGGCTGAGTGGTTCTCGGTAGGGCCAGCGTCCCGACGAGGCCGGTCCCGCGGGGTGCTTGGTGGCCGCCTTCTTGACGAGGTAGCAGCGCGGCATACTGCTGCTTCCTCGCGGGACGGCTCTCCGCCGGCCGTCGGCTCAGCTGCGCCGTGTAGCCCTGTGCATGCCGTCTGAGCAGCGTCCGCTGTCGATAGCCCTCCGCTCGCTTCTGGGGGTTGGGGTCCCGTGGGCGTCCGTCGATGTGTGTGTGTGTGTTTGTGAGGTGTGTGTGGAAAACGGGGAAAAAAAGAGGAAAGAAACGGTGCGCTCGGTTTTGTCAAACTGGAAAACCTGAGTTTACACCTCGGGCTTAGTTTTATAGCGAGCCCTCACCGCCGCCTCCTCCGCTCCGACTCCTCCTCGCCGTCGATCTTGGGAGAACGCATGCGCACTGCGCCCCTCTTCTCCGTCCTTCTCTCCGAATCCCTTTTTTCTCTTTCCCTCCCCCGGTGCCCGCTGGCGCGGAAGCGCGCCGGGGAGGAGAGCGCTCTCGGGAAAGGAGAGGAGGACACGCAACTAGGGAGCTCTAGGGAGAGAGTTGCGAGGGACGGCCCGCCCGCCTCTTTCAGCTCTTTCCCTAGCCTTGGCCATCATCATCGTCATCATCCCGTGCCGATAGAGCGGACGACTAAGCGACGCACGAAAGCTCCCGCTTCAGGATAGCCATTAGAGAGGCTCCAACTCCAGCGACAAAATAACAAGCTTGGACTGAGCGGAATTTCTGACGCGTTCTTGGCCACAAGGAGCAGTCCGAACAAACTTTTGCTTCGTTTCCTTATGAAACGTTGTTCCTCCGGGATGGAATGCCAGATTCTTGTGAGCGATGCGTCTAACAGAAATCTTCGCTCAGACAGAGCAATATGTTTAAAGGGACCGTTTTAGAAACTTATACCGTCGTTATTTCTGACGACGAAATTATTATAACGTAGCACAGTTTTTTTAGCATGTTATTTTGTAATTAGAATCTTTTAGGCGCATTCATTGTCCACTAACTTACTCTCGTTTTATTTACTCTTCTTTGCTGTTACTAAAACATCGCACAATATTTAATGCGGCTCATATGCTATATTTATTCAAGTTTCAGCTCTTGACGATAAACATACCAGGAGGTCTCGTAAGTCAGGACAATAAACTTTTGTGTGGCTAACTTCTTCAAATATCACCTTCCGGGCACGCTTCTAGTAACACAAACGGGTGCGCGCTAAGCTATTTCTTAATCACAAATAGATTGCTGACGAATTAAGAAACAAGAAGTAATTATAGCCCCTGCCGATCAAACTCAAAGCGTTGCGTGCAGTTAATAAATAGACGCTCGGTGATCTCAACCGAATCGTCGTTTCCAATATCCTCTTTCATGAGCTCAAGTGTAAAATAAAACAAATACAGAGAAAGAGAGACGGGTACGCACGCACACAAATTACCTCTTCTGCTCAGCCAAGTGTTTCTTTTCCCTTAGTGTTTGCTCTCAAAACATGGTTACACCGATCTCGAAGAACCATTGTCAGAGGAGAACATATTTCGAGGCTCGTGTCTCTCCCCTCACCGTCGCATCTGCCCGAGTTCATCCAGTTCGCTGCGTCTCCTGGAAAGTTTGCTTTTTCACGCGGTTAGTCTTGAAGAGGAGAAGCCCTCTTGGCGTAAACGTTTCAAGAGGCCTTTAATTGATTCGGAGAATGCTTGAGAGCCACCAGTGCTCCACTTTCATCCGCCTTCTTATTCCATTTGTTTATATAGCATATTGGAGTTTTTAAGTTACAAAAGATTGGATGTAATTTACTGGATGAAACACGCGAAATACATGTGATATAGTCTAACAGTTCGAACTAAGAAAACATTCTCGTTTTTCTTTTTCTCTTTAAGCCGGAAAATGGCTAATAAAAATATAGGCTTTATTAAAGGGGAGGGAGCTCCGGCAAAATATTCATGGTCCTTGATTTTCATAAAACTTTTAACATGTACTAAATAAATATCCACCCGTGAGTATGTCTATAAAATATTTATTCAAATATTTATTTTCTTTGGAGAAAATTAATTTTGAAGTTTACGCGTACACCACCAAATCACTTACTGTTGTTCTACTGGCAACAACGAGCGGGAGCACTCGGGACGTCAGATGCATCCGGGAGCAGACGATGCTCCCCACTCCACGGCGTTGTGCGTTGTAGTGATCTCAAGCGTCTGCGGTTTTGCCAGTTGCGTCTGGTCTAGGCTCTTCGCGGCATGCGATGCGGAGTGGGGGGAATTGGTGATTGGCTGTGGGTACAATAACACTACGAAGAAATGCAGCAGAGTGGCATCTTATTGGTTTTTGATTTAGACATCTCTGCGACGGAAGGGGGTCCGAGCAGTCCGATGCGAACGCTGGCTCCTAGCGTTTGTGTCATGCTAGAAAACAGTTCACTTTGCTAGCAAACAAAACATTTCATGCCATTTTGTTTCGAAGCGGCATCTGGGTCCTCAAATCGGCGGATCGCGAATGCAGCGCCCACGGGAGATCCCATCGGAAGCGATGCCGGTGGCTCGAATGCAAACGACGAATCGTCTGAAATTTCGGGCTGAAAATCTTAGAACATTTACTGGTCATTGCTTAACTAAGATGAGCTCTATGAATCGTAGTTCATTATTTCCTACGGACGACCGCGACGCCCTTCTGTTTACTTCTGACACTGGGGGAAACAGGCTCAAACTGTTCATGTGCTGATGTTTATACAACATCTGACGTCGCAACAAGATGGATTACCAGTAAAGTTGCAGGTTAGTTTTGGTTTCGGTTATATCGTATTTCTACGATTAAAAATTGAGTAAAAAGATTGCTAAAATTTACTTGCTGCTTTAGGCTCAGTTTATTGTGGTCTTTCATAAAATATGTTTAGTTGAAAACGTTCGAATTGACGCCGGTGTACTTAATGCCTTTAATTATTCCTACATGTGCTTCCTAATAATATTGTCCGGGATTCCACATCTGAAATATTTGGTGCTTGCTATAATTAGTCTAATTTTTATAATCAAGTGGATTTGGCACATCAATTAAAGTATGGTGTTCCTAATCAAGTTGTTGATTGTTTTCTTCCGTTTGAAATAAAGCTCTATACTCTGCTCTCTCGTTGTGTTTTTATGGGCTCCATTCCGCATGTCTTTTCAAAGCACGTTCCCGTAGTTATTTTGACGTAGAACTACCACTTTCTCCGCTTTTTTAGGAGTTGCAAAGTTGGGAAGTCGATGTCACGGAAACTTGGTCACGGAATGTCACGAAAACTTCGTCACGGAAGTAACGTCACGCATGTCAAATAAATTTGAAAGGAGGCGCAAAGTTGGGAAGGCGGTGTCACGAAAACTTGGTCCAGGATGTTACGTCACGCATTTAAAAATAAATAAAGTTATTTTGAATGAGAAAAAAAGAAGAAAAAGTAAAAAAAAAACTGTGAACTCTTATGCGTGACGTCGCACCCCTCGCACCGTGGAACACCAATGACGCGGCGAACATGATATCGCGTTCACCACGGAGGCGCGTCGGCTCCTTTCATCCGTGTATGCTTCTTCCCGAAAAAAAGTTCGTATAGTGTGTTTGAAATGACCCAACAGCGCACCCAGGTTTTCTCCGTCGACTTACAGGGCACGGAGTTCCGCATGTACGACTCCCAGATGACAGTGCAGGGACTGAAAAATTGCCTCTACGGGACTCCGAGCCACAGGCATTCACTTCTTGCGCACCCGCCATCGTCATGCGGCATGGGACGTATCTCCAGCTGCCACAAACAGCACATATGGGACGAGTGGACAAGTCATGGCCCCTCTTATATCACCCCCTTCAGTTCTTGTGCCACCCACTCGTAGTTCTACGGAAATTTATGCAGCATAATACACCTATGCAAGGACCAATTTTTTTTTATCACAACTCTTGTCTTGTTTATTCTTGAAAAACTGACCTAAATCAAATTGGTATGCCTATCTTTACGTAATTAAGGTCGATTGCAGATGTCCACGTATCGTGTTGTTTTCTCGCCTCCGCAAAGAATCGAATTCCTAAGAACTATTTTATTATTATTCGAATAATACATTCATGTTATTATTCACATGTAAAAAAATATATCGGTTTACAATATTTCTGGTCAAGTTCGTCATCTGCTTCACTCATCGTCTTTACCGTCCTTTCCATAGAAAATTTTAAATTTAACATTTTTACACATTTCATCAAAGCTGCGACGTGCGACGCAGTTGCAAGATGTGCTACTTTGAGGATGGTCTACTCTAAACATACCGCGGAGCCTACATGCACACACTATCCTGGCTAACGTAATCTCCAAGTGACGAAATTCACACATGCTGCGCTTAGAGGAGATTTCGATAAAACCTCTTTGCGAAGCTCAGCTAAAAAAAAAGAAAAAAAAAACACTGTCACGATTGATACTTCTTGTACCTTATTAACTATGTGGTCTCTTCTCCGATAGGTTTGAGTTAAGACCAAATGGAGGGCATTCGTATCGAAGAGATTATAATTATGTAATAAATAGTGCAGAGAAGGCAAACTCTCATGTTCAAAATACAACAAGTCGCAGAAATCAAAACAAAAAAACACGTGAGCAGCGTGGTATCCAGACATGTTGCATCTTTTAGCGTCAGATAATAATTTGGGACGCACTCCTCCTTAGTTCCAAAACAACTAAAACCTCTCGTGTTTTTTTTTTTTTTCTTTTTAATAAAGAAGGTTTATTTTGGAGCGTTCAGCACTGCCAAGTTGTTCCAGAAGCGCTCGCCAATAATGGCGCGCTGTGTCTTTTGCTCGCTTGTCACTTTCTGGGGGTTTTATTTCCTGACGACCCTACGTATCACAGCCTTCTCTATATTCATTCAGAAACTTAGCAAGTACCTAGTATCGGTATGAAGTAGGAAAAACAGGCAGCGTGTGTACTCACACCGACACAAGTTTGCAAAACTTATATTTGTTGTACTAATAATTACACAATGGGAAGCTGCCCTGCCTTCACATAGCGTTTGATGTCACAGCTGTAGAAGGTGACATACTGTTTATTTTCTCCATTTTTTTTTCTGAAAATTGG